GAGTAGTCTGAACTTGGGTTTAGGTTCCAAACCTTTCAGAACCTCTCTTGGTGCTTGAATAAAATTGATTTTCTTACAGACGACAGCTGCAGGAGCAGGAAGTGATTCCTTCCTCCTTCCTTTCCTGATCACAGCCACATGTTCCTCCTGGCAGAGCTGTGCCGTGGCCTGGCTGTGCTCACTCGCTTTGTCTCGCTGCTGCCAGTGCGGTTGCAGAGCCTGTGCAGAACGCCAGATACACTCACTGATAACTTACCCTTTTCTCCTGGCGTTCTTCTGCCAGGCTGGCAGTGAAATGCAGTAGGTTTTTGCCCTGAATGAACACTGAAGTTGAGACTGCTTGCATCAGGCCTGCCTGAGCTTTGGCAATAAAGGCCAGCCCCCTTCCGAATAACTTCATTTTCTAAGCAAAAATAAATTATCTGGGTGTCTATTCCTACTTTCTTTTGTAACTGCTTTATTAAAAATAAATTGCTTTTTAGAGAAAGCAAAACACAAGAAAAGCACAGAGGTTTCTTTCCTCACCTTCCCCAGCAGAGGAAAGCAGCTGGGCTCCTCTTCCCAGCCCAGCACTGGCAAAGGGTAGTTCTGAAGGAGCCTGGCAGGAGAAGGTCGTGCCTTGCTGTCGGCAGATGGTGCCCTCATCAGGGAAAAAGAAGAGAGAAATACTTTGCAGAGAGCATTTGGCGCTGTGGCAGCCTTGTCTGGAATTGGTTAGAAAGAGGACAAGGTCCTTGGTTGGTGTCTCCTTGCAATGTCAACTTAGCTCATTGGAAACATCCCAGCTCATATTCGGAGACGGTTATTTCCCCAGAAAACTCTTTGTAATGATATCACTATTGGCTTTTGTCTACAAATTACTGTACAACTTAAATGTCAGTATTCTAAACTTGAAGTGCACGGGGTTTGTTCAGCCAGATGAAATTTAGTTTGGGCTTCTGGCAAGACTCACTTTCATATTTATCAAACTGACATTCAAACCAAAGAAGTAAAAATACAGCTAAAATATCAGGTGCTGTTGAATGCCTGCAGAAACCATGACAGGAGTGTTGCTTTTTTTTCCCTCCTATAATCAAATTTATCTATACTTCTGAACGAACATCTGCATGAAGTATTTAGTGGTTCTTTCTTTTTTCCTTTGGATCTGGTTTTGCATGTTAAATAAGCCGATAGCTCAGCCAGCTTGGACAGGGTGTTTGTAGCTGTATGAAAAACCTTTAACGCTCATGATGTTGGGGATGTCCAAATGCAGGCTGCAAAGCACCCCAGGTGTCCAAGTGTGGCCAAACAGAAAAGGTTCAAGCTTCCAACATCTAACTGATCATGGTGTCCAGTGAAGCTGCTTCTCAGCTTCAGTCTTCCTTGACTTAATGTGGGGCAGTCAGCTCAGTTCCTGCAAATAGTAGGACTTGCTCAGGGCACTGAAGTGCTCTTTTTTTCCAAATTAGCATCTTGTAGCCCAACAGAATGAAAAAATCATCCATGCTTTTACTGTTTGCCATATTAAAACATTTTTTTTTGAGCAACTATTGATATCTTTGCTTAAAATACTGTTTTTCAGAAACTTTTTTCTCTCTGAATGAGCTCATCTACCTTTCTTTTTTAGTGTTTCTGGCCCCTTCTATTTGATGTTTTTAAATGCTCAACGTTGACTTTATCTTTAGCGTCCCAGTGGTGGGATCTGCTCTGTGGACTCTTTGTGTTCTAGGCTGTGTTGCTGTGGTGGCACGTGTCCAGCTCTGTGCCTCAGGTGGGCATGTGTTCCCAGGTGCAGCTCTGCAGGCGGAGTCCATCCTTCATCCCAGCTGCTAAAGGGATTCCTTGGTCTCTAGTTATACTTTTCCCTCTGTGTCAATTTGAGGTGTCAAAGGAGGAATATTTGTGATATCCCATGTCATACCCTCACGTCCCTACTCGGTAATGAAGGGTTTTTGAGAATGAGCAGTCTGAGGCTATAGACCATTACCGACATCTCTTCTCCTATCTGTTACCTGAAGATGGAGCCCTATTTACAAACTCCACAAGAGACCTCTCCTGGGAGAAAGGAATGGAAAGAAATGCTACAACTGAACAACAGCATCGTCTACTCAGATGGGGAAAAAAATAGCAAAACTCCCCAAGTAACTAGAAGGTGAGAGCAGGGCAGTATTTCAAGTTGCAGTGTTTTTCCTTCTCCAAAATGAAAGTTGCTCTGGCTTTGGGTCACTGCCACAAAGCAAAGGAGCAAGGAAAGTGAATGTGTATTTTTTTTTTTAAAAATTAGACATATTTGAGACTTTGAGAAGGAAGCTTTTGATCTTCTTCAAAGTCTGAAAAAAAATTAATGGGAAAAGGGAGGTGAATGTAGCCCATGTAGTTTAAGGCACAAATTGCTCCTAGCCCTTCTTCAAAAGAAGCATTTTGTGGAAAACAGCAATCCTGATAAAGGAAAAGGCATTGGAATAAACACTATATATAATACCTTATTTTGTCCTCAGGTTGGTGCCCATGTTCTCAGAAGCAGGGGCCATGGTTTATGCTGTAAGGACAGCAAAATGTACTGTGTTCCCCTCCTTTGTCTTTTGCTACTGGAGATGTCAGGTTGAAACTTCCCATAGTCAGGTGCTGCCAAAAGTGAAAATTCAATTTTGGTTAAAAGATTAAGGTGTTTTAAGCATGAGGAGAGAAAATAAACATTTCCTCTCTGTTAAAGCTGATATAATAAAATGAGGTGTACGTGGTTTTGAGCGGCTGTTACAGCTAAAATAAAAGTAAACTAAAAACCGTGAAGATTAGCTGTGATTGCAGAGCGGGGCTTATCTTTTTCCTTGATGGACTTGTTTTGGATTTCTCTACTTCTGTTTAGAGTTCAGGGTGAACTGGAGTAGCAATGTGTTGCATGTGACACTTCACCTCAGACGAGTCACCTTGCCAAGCTGGAACCTGAAATAACAAGAATCGCCTTTGCAAAATGAGGCAAATAGGAAGGAAGAGCCATCATGGAAAAAAAAGCAGATTTGTTACAATTCCGCTGATGAGATTTTTGTCAATTTTAAATAATGACATGGAAAATTGCTCTGATTCAGTATGTCATTTTGAACTGGAAAGGAGAGAAGTAGAATAGGAAAAAACACCAGCCCCGGTAGATCCATCAACACACTGCATGGCCGATGCACTTCATGCTGTGGAAGAGCTGTTTGCATGAGAGTTACAGCTTTCAGATCTTCTAATGGATGTTTTTAGTTTCGTGAATCAGCTTCCATATGCTTTTAGCTGTCACAGCTCCGGATTAGGTGGAGTAGGGACATTTCACAGCTGAATGACTTCCAGCAGGAACTTCTGGCATCCCTTTAAGCATCAGCCTTAGTTCTGCGCTCTGGTTCTGGGTTTGAGATGCTACCAGCTGTGCTGATGCTTTCCTTGGAAGATAAGCAGCACGAGCTCATAAAATATAGTAGGTAGTGGAGATTGTTCCTGTAAAAGTGGATAGGCTGCTGTTGCCTGATCTATGAGGCTTTTAATAAACCATCCAGCTTTCCTTGCTCTGCAGTAGAAGCAGTGAGACATTTGGATGCTGGTCTACATGTACAGTAAGGAAACTGTAAGTACTTTTCTGCCTGCAGTCACTAGTGAAAACTGAGTCTGTAGTATTTTTTTCTGCCCTGATTCTGTGCTGCTGCCTGGAAACCTGAAGGAGAGGAGGCAGTCCAAGCGACGTCAGCCTGGGTCTGGGATTGCCCTGGCTCTAGTGGTTCTGTGGAACGTGACACAATTACTCACGGGCAGACCTGGGTTACTGCTAACAGGAGTGCAAATGTGTTGGCAAAGGGGAGGGGATTGCCAGGCGACTTCATCAGTGTGCCTTCTGCTTAGCTGTGGAGTATTTGATCTGCCCTCCTTGCTAGTTCTGGCTGTTCTCTGTTATTACTGTTTGAATTTGCTGCCTGTTGAAAAGTGATGCCATGTACCAAGTCGGAAAATTACATCTTTCCCCTGCAGAGTTTATGCTCTGCTACACAGGAGAGGTGGGGCATGAATTGAAATGTACTCTCTAGAGAGCGATCGGCGTGCCCAGCAAAGACCTCAGCACACTGGGGTCTTATGCCATTTTTGCATTTTCGCTGTGTTGCTGCTGGTCATGCTCTGCTGTTGTCAGCGAAGGTTAGAACTTGATTTTTTAAATATATGTGTTCAGGGAGCACCCATGTTTACGAAAGAGCAAAAAACTAACCTCCGGATATCTTGAAGTATTGCTTTTGTGCTTTCAAGATTTCTCACTTATAGATCAGATCCTTCTGAACTAGGATGCAGTTAATCCCAAATATCGGGGTCATTTCCAGCTCGTTTTTCCAGCTCACACATGAAATGCTGCTCATGGATTGCAGCGCAGGCGTTCCTGCGCTGCTGCGTGGCCGGCTGGCTGAGCAGCCCCTGGGGAAGATCCTTCAATCAGTGCAAGCAAGAACCAGAAGGACAAGGGTATCTGGGACCCCGACCTGCTGCCACCGGGGGGGTAGATGGGGTTGTGAGCCCTGCCGGTGTTTCTAAATCCAAGTAGAATTGAACATATGTAGGATTGTGTACAGTGTTGTTACATGTCTGGCATAATATTGCAGGCTCGCAGCTGCACGGAATTAGGTAGCTATGTTTTCCTTACATGTTGTATTCATATAAACCATGTCAGTTGTGCTTTGAGGCTGATGAAAGTTAAAGGATACTTTGATTTGAATACAGACAGTTTTCTTTTTATCTGCAGACCTAGGCTACAACCAGACCATCAAAATGCTTCAAACGATTAAAACTAAAGATCAGAATTATTTTTCTGTCTACTAATGCTTTGAATGACGGTAATAATGACACAAGACGTCGTGTTTTTACATTAGATATGGCGCAAACTTTATCCATGTTACACAGCACCAGCCAGAAACTTATCCACCTGAATATTTATCGTCTTACAATACAGGATCTTGCAGACCCTTTCTGTATGTGATCTGTTTTGCTATGGTCATTATGTTTTCCAGTGTATTTGACAAGGATCCAAATGGAGTTGTTTCCACTGCGAGTTCCAACCACCGGACCAGAAATCTTCTGGAGTTCTCAGCAAGCCAGGAGTCCAACACAGCTCAGAAAATACCTGGGGACATCATTCCCGAGAAGAGTAATAAGTGAGATGAAAACCTTTAACATATTTTAAGTGGCAGAGACAATGGTGCCTTCTGTTTGCTAACCTTTTTGGCCTGTGTTATTGTTGCTGTTATAGAGCAACTGAGTTTACAAACACAGTGTCTTGAAAATGGATTATTTTTTAAAATTATTATTATTTATCAAAGTTTACCAGGTTGCTTTAAAATGTCTCCAAATTATCCAATATGTGGAGCTTCAGAAGTGTACACGTGTCTGTGCTGTATGGTGTTAGGGACTGTGGTGGAAGAGAGCATATAAACTTAATGTATGTCGTGGCGATTTTCATGATCTTCAGTTCTTCGCTTGCCTGCTCTTTTCCCTGATCTTTAATTTAGCTTGCATAGTTATACTGTTTGTCACATTATCTATCTCGTCTTACTTTTCAAGCTAGAGTACTTATTTTCTCAGTTGCTGAAGACTGGGCAAGTTCATAATTAAGAACATACTCTGAACTTAGCACTGTACTTCTTTAGAAATCTCTGAGTCCACCCTTATGCTTGCCCATTATTTAATTATGTAGTTGCTTTCAAGCTTCCTAGATCTCTAGCATTATATGATTCAGTGCGTAAGTGAACGTATAATTGTCTCCAGATTGAAGCTTGACTAATCTAGCTCATGTTTTCCCCTTACAAGATTTATCCTATCCGATTGTCCCTTTCCAGTAGAGTGTTTTGGCTGGTTGAACAAAGCCAGGCACAGATGTGCAGAAAGCCCTGATGTATTGTGCCATGCAGAAAGAAGGCAATAAATCAAGAGCATTTTGAGGCTGTAGCAGTGGTGAGGACTTGTGTCCTATGTGGCATGTTTCATATGATGACTTATTAGATCAGTTCTCCTAGGATGTGCTAGTGCCTCTATTTCCTCCTCTTCTTTCACTTTTTCACCCTGTTTTTTGGCAAACCGTGAGCTCTTTGCTGCATATTCTCCTTTATCAGTTTTAGATACTGTAAACAGGAGAAGCAGACATGAGGGTGGAGAGAAAGCTGTGAAAGGGAGAGGAATGTGAATAAGGCTTTCATAAGCTCTTATACCTAATTTTTCAGAGAAGAATTTTGGTTTGGGAGCTACAAGTCTGTCAAAACCAAGAGGACTAAGGCTATCATATTGATACCCTATCAAAAGAGGAGCTTAGAATAGGTATTTGGTGATAAGTAGTTAACTCTTCAGGAGGTACGCGCCATCAGGAAAAAAGATCATTAGTCTTCGCTTTGTTGCTGAGATTGCTGTGAATTTTTTCACTTTTTATCAAAGCCAAGTTAGCTTCTGGAGACTGTTGGAGATGTAAATCCTCTCCACTCGGTTGTGATACAGTTTGTGGCTGCTCCGTTGTCATATAGCTCCTGGTGTTTACGCCTGCAGGGTTTTAGTGGCTGATAGATTTGGTATTTCTGTAGCAAGTCTTGCATGGCTCCAGAATGAGCGAGATGTCACAGTGACAAATACATGCGTGACGTAGTATTATGAGGAATATTTTACAGGCTGGGTTTTCTTGTAGTATCTGGCCTGTTTGGAAAGACATCCAACATCTGCTAATGCTCAACTGCCCACTGAGTGCTATCAGACCCCTCTGGGGAACTGACTGAGACCAAATTGCTATTCACCTGTTTCAAAAGTCCCACAGGAGCAGCTGTAAGCTTTGTGGGTTTGCTAATGGTAGTGCTTGTTCTCTGTATTTGGTCTAAGGTTCATAAAAAACTGTTTCAAGGGAATTCTTGATGCCTTTTTCTCTTTTTTTTGGCCAGGTATGAACGCTCTGTATCTGATAACAAAGCACTGATGGTAGTCTCCGAAGAACCACTGTTATATATTGCACCACCACCACCCCCCTGTCGGCCTCTGATCAACCGGACCGAGTCACTCAGGTGCACAAACAACTTTTTCTGAGCATTTAAGCTTTTATTAAGAGTTTGGATATAAATTGTGTGTTGGGTGAGTGCTACTGGACTGTCAGCTCTGGGTGATGTTATTGCCCATTCAGAGTGATCATCCAATATGTGGCCAGTGCCTCTGGAAATGTCTGCACTGACCAGTGTCTACTGCCATGGAGACTGGAGGTTCACTTGGATCTTTGTAACCTTTTTGATGGTTTTAGTAATGATTTTCACTCAGTTTTCACACTGGTCGTTTAGGAATAACAATTTTGTGATTGCCTGGATGTTTTTTCGTGACTCAAAAGAGAAATCAATTCATATGTAGAAGTCCTCATAATACAGAAATCAAGTCCAGTTAAAAGCCTGTTCCATCTGAAGGACATAAAAGATGGTCTTCTACTCTTCAGCTTCCGATGCAAGGAGGCCTAACCTGACATTGCAGATGTGCTTTATTCACTGCTAGAAAACACCTAGGTCCACTTTTTCCTAAGATGTGTGTCACTAACATTATGTCCATTTTACTTCATTAATTCTTTCTCTCCTATTTATTGGCCGTATTTTAGCATTCTTAACCAGTATTTTGTCTTGAATTGAACAACTTTTGATTTGAAATTTCAGTAGTCTGTCCAGTAATTTTAAAATTACCGTTCACTGGGCAAAAGAAAGTACTGTGTCTGCTTTGTATTGAAACATCCATGATCCAAACAATATATAGATATTTCCTTAGAAATTCCCTCATAAATTTAATGTCACATTTATATTTTCTTACTCTGATATCAAAAACAAGTTATCATAAGGTAAAAGAATAGTATAGTGACTAGTTAAACTTTTTACTAAAATTAAAAAGTTCTGACACTGTTCTCTGAGACATCTTTTAATGCTCTGAGTCTTTCTAGGCTGAACCATGAACTTCGAGGATGGGTTCACAGACATGAAGTGGAACGAACAAGATCTAGAAGGCTGTCAAATAACCAACAGCAGAAAGCACGGGTTGTGCAGGTAGGCAGGTTTATACTGGTGAGTCGAAAGAATGACAAGATAATTTCAGACAGCCTAACAAAGCGTTCTCTCTTACTTGTCTGCACTTGTCATTATAGACAAAAGTAGCAATGGTGCCTGTAATTAGGGTACCCAACACTTCCCATTCTAAATTGCTGGGTTTGGTTGGTTATTATGTTGTCAAAGTTCTTCCATTCCTGCTCTTGGATTCACGCTCAAGGTTTTTAATTATTTTTAGCAGTCATCAAAATATGTTCAAGGTTTTTGAAAATGGCTTTTATGACTTCTCCATAAGACTATGTAAGGATAAGAACAAACAGTTAATGCAGAGGAATATAACCTACGGCACATTCATCTGGCTCATGGTTAAGGGGCACAGCTGATTGGTTTTGTTGAAGTATTTCTATTTCATTTTTTCAGATTTGTGCTAGAGGGATACATTTTTGTAAGACTACAGAATTATGAGATTTGTGCTCCCATTTCCCATTTTAAATCCCTTTAATCTACATGTTATACCAAAGTGAGGGAGAAATTAAGACCATGAATTTTCAAAGTGTTTCATTTTAAGAGCTAGTAACAGCCTTAAAAAGGAATTAAACTTAATGATGTGGGAAATACCACACTTTTCTAGAGAAAATTATTGAATACTGAGGTTCAGATTCTTCTCACTGGTGTCCAGAGGAGAATGGTAGAACACTTAAGAAGGACAAGTTCAGGTGCTTCTAGTGTTTCAAGCGCCAGAAATGTGTTGCGGGTAGTATATTTTGGCAGTGGTGCCAAGTACATGTGACCTCAGAAGAATTCTGTAAATCTGACATCACTGATAGCAAATTTTGTATTTGGATGACAAAACAGGTGCAACTACTGTGTATGGTGCCAGCCTCCTTTCTTTCTCTCTGAATGTGTGTCTTCAAATTTGGCTATATTAAAACACTTGAGCTTTTTTTGTGTTTCCAGCTTGATTGCTGACCATTTCTGTTATTCGTGTTTCACTACTTTTTTGTTCAGGGCACTGATTAACCCCCTTAAATATTCACTCTCTGCTACAGATGTGCATCGTGTTTTATGTAGTGCCAAACCAAGGAAATGCTTAGTTTTCACTTTGTATTGTCTTCTTCTGTTCCTCCTTTTTCAGAATTCCCTCAGTGAGAAGGCAGATTCCCAGCTAATGGCCGTGCCTTACACAGACACCAGCCTCAGGTAAGGCAGAACAACTGCTTTGTTATTACTTTCTACTTAATTAATCTGGTTTTTCCCCAACAGCTGGTAGAAAGGACCGGTTTTCACCTTGTTGTCAGGATTCTTAAGCCATATGCTAGCTACGTTTATTGACCAAATTTATGTCCCTTAGCAAATAATTGCTTCTAATGATTCGAACTACTTGTAAAGGGACCCCTGTATCACAGCCGCACTCCTGAGGTCATTTTAACAATGATTCTTAAGAAAATCTTTACTTCACTCTCTGGAGTCCCTTCCTAAACAGACTTGAATCTTTAAGGAATAAAAAAGGGGGAATTGTCTTGGGAAAATCTGGAGGAACATTGGTGGTTCATAAGCAGCTTTCAAAGAGTCTGTTAAGAGAAGGGTGTCTCTCATTATCTAGAGATAGTGAGAGTAGAGCCACTATACCAAATTATTTTGACAAAGTATCATTGCATGTTATTTGGATGGTTTGTCTTCATCTTCTGGGTTTTTTGTGATGATCAGAAGATGATATGGTAACCCAGAGTTTCCCAATTCCCTCTGCCTGGCCCCCCATCCTGTGTACCTATCCTGTCCCTCTTCCCTGGAGACAGGAAGAACTAGAGAGAAAAGTTTAAGGAAATGAAAATTCTCTCCCCTGAATTTTCTGTGACAATGTTTAAAATGTTCTCTGCTTTGAATTGACCAAGAGAAGTAAGCAGAATGGAGTAGAGAGTGGACTTTTTGGTGAGAAGACACCCGAAACGTTCCCACTGAAAGTAAGAGAGCTCTAGCCATCCTGTTTGCGTTGCTCCTTTGAGACCAGGATCAGCCTGAGAGAGAAGAGCAAGCTGCAGGCAAATGTTGCAGAAACCAGGCTGCCAAATTTCAATATGTCTTGACTAATAAGAAAATGAGCTTTTTACTGTTCTACAGGCAGATGAGGATGTCTGTTTTAACTAAACACTTGACAAACAAGCCTCATAGCATAAGGCAGTTTGAAGCATGTGCCTGTATTACTCTTAAAAAAATAATCTTGGTTATTAGATGTCTGCAACACCATGCAGCTCTGTATGGGATCATCTGCTGTGCTCAGAAGGAAGTAAGTTTTTTATTTTTCTGAGGGGCGAAGGATGTTTAAATGAACAGAACTGGTGAATCATGGCAGCTGCATGCTGTGACTGTCCTGGAGCTGCTAAGAACATAGAACAGACTTCCAGTTCCTCCCAGAGCCATCAGCTGTTAGATGCTCCATGAAATCATAGAATCACAGGGTAGTTTAGCTTGTAAAGGACCTCTGGAGATCTCTAGTCCACCCTCCTACTCAAAGGCACTAAAGTGCCTTTTTGTGGAGTATTGAGTCAAGGCTTTCAATTTTTAATATTAGTGCTGGGACTGGAAAGTGAGTGACGTTTCCCTTCTAGAACACCTTTACTGGTGACCTGAGTCTATGAGCAGGAGGACATTAGCAAGATCTAGATTTATCTTTGTAGCACTGATGATACTAATGTTGTCACCTTGGTCCTGGATTCCAGAAGAAAATTGACTGACTGAAAAGTATTGCACTAAAGTCAAAACAGAGGCAAAAGATCAAAGTCAAGATGATTTCAAAGAATACCATTAGCACCCACCCCCTCAGCTCTCTTCAGTTGTTTTGGCTTTCTTCAGAGGTCATTTTGATGAGAGTTTCTGCAAGCGTGGATTTAGGGCTCTGGATATCAAACTGGGACTCTCCAATTATTTTAAATTTTTAATTTTGTGCTATTAAAATTGTGGTTCTTGGTGCCAAAAGCACTGAGCCCACACCCTCTTTGCTTCCTTAAACAAGCAAGTGTGTAACAGTCTAGTGCTCTGTGATGCATATACAAAAGTTAATAGGATATTTTCTTGTGATACGGTGATGCTTTACTAAAACTGGTAGCTTTGCACCTGTTTTCAGATCTTAAATTCCTCCTGTCCTTTCGTGGAGGAGTCCGTAGTGGGTACTCTTCCTCTTCAATGCCCAAAACTAAGTACGGTGTAGTGCCGATGTCGCTTGGAATGTGGGACTGGTGACGGACTTGTTCCTTGAACCCCAGAGAGCTGCGCGAAGGCCCAGCGGTTTCCAAGTGCTTTGGAACAGCTTTTTCCCATGGCTGGATTTAGAATTATAAAAGGCTGTTTTTTAGGTCTAGCTGTATGTTCTTGAGTGTGGGCGAGCAAACGGATCTGTGGGACCTGTTTCAGTTTTCAGGATGTTTCAGTGAGCGTTGTGTGGGCGCGATGCCTTTTATCGCAGCAGAGCTTCAGCGCCGAGTCTCAGGGGTGGGTCAGTGGGCCCACGTGTTTTTGTGAGTGAGTAATGGAGCTCAAATTAGCTCCAATCTTTGTTTCCTGTGTGTGAAGGATGTGGTCCGATTCCTCGCTCGCGTAACAGGGGTATATGGGGTAGAGCTACCTCCTCTGATCCCCCAGGATTTACACCCCCAGTCCCTTGGCAGCTGCAGTCCCTCGATTGAAACAGGGCTGGATTAGCCGTAAGAGAGGAGATAATGATGGTGTGCTATTACTGCTGCTCAAGAAAAATCACTTGATGATAGATTTGTGCCTTGTTTTGGGTGCATAGTTTTGTATATTTGAGAAACATACCAAAATAATCTAGGTTAGCCACCGTAGTTTAAAATCTTGGGAGACAGCTTGGGAGGGATAGCCTGATCGGTGTTTGCCACAAATACTGCAGGCAGACAGTATGTTATTAAAGTGGGAAGGAATTCAAATAACTGGTTGAAGGGCCAGCTAATGGTTTGTGTAAGTGCAGTTCTCTGATTTGATTAAATAGGTTATTTTTGAATGGGCTTGGGGAAGTGTACATGATAGCAGTACAGGCTGGGAATTTCTCACCTTTCCAAGATAAACAGTGGATAAGTACCATGATTGTACAACTTGCCAGTGGTTTTGCTTAGACTAGTTTAGACAGAGTGTCTTTTCCTCGTGTCTGATATATGCAAGATGAGAATTGTGGAAAAGAAGCCAGAATTATGTGCATATCTTATTTTTTGCTCCACTGTTTAAACTGCAAATCAAGAGCAATTCTTTGACTTGACCAGAGACGCAAAAAAAAAAAAAAAAAGGTGTGTGAGAAGCGTGGGGTTGTCACTTGAAAGTAAATGAAAAGCTCTATTTGTATGTAATTTTGCACCTCTTTCAATATGAGTGGCTTGAATCCTCAGCAATAAAATAAGAATTTATTAAAGGCTTTGATTTTTTTTCATTTCAGAACGGCATTTCATTCTAAAATTTGCTGAAATCTATCTCTAGAAGTCATCATAATTTTTCAGATACTTTAGGTTGACTTGAAACTTTTTTTCTTTTCTCTTGAGCTAGCCTAGCAAGCAGGGTTTTGCCAACCTCAAAAGCATAAATAAAATCAAGCCTGGAAAAGTTTCCTGCAGTAGACCTTTAAAGCACCTTGAACTTTCAAAAAATAGCCAGTAGTTTCACGTCTTTACTTGTGTTTAACATTCCTCGTGCTGCTTCTCTCGATGGATGAAGAGCTGCTGTTCTTTTTGAAAAAATGCTCTTTAAAGTCATTGTCTCACTGAAGTTTATTTCTTGTCTAAAATAATTACAATTCCCCTTTCTTTATTTCAAAAGGAATGAGCTGCAAGTGTATTATGCCTCTCCGAGGAGCTATCAAGATTTTTTTGAAGCTATTCGCAGAAGGGAAGATACATTCTACGTCGTGTCATTTCGCAGAGTAAGTTCTTCAATACTGTAGCAGTTGTTCAATACTGGCCTTTGATGTGTATTTGTAAGAGTGGTTCTAACACCAAGTGCCTTTCCGGGTAGTACAAAAGGTGACCTAGTTAGGGTTGAAGCTAAACTTGTTTCTTTGTAAGTGATGCTTCTGTACATCCTCTACAGTAATATGGCCAGATAATGGCCTTTGCAAAATATTCCCATCACAATTAGGTATGAAAGGACTGCTTTGCAGAAATCATTGCAGTGCCAGGGCAAGACAGCACAAAATTGCATGAACCCTGTGGTTAAATGCTTACGTGTCGTAGCAGTCCAGTAATCGCAGTAGCTACCTGGATGTTTATTTAATAGGTGTATAAACCTTTTGTGCTTCTGGGAATAGATGTACCCTCTGCATAAATTATTTCTGCTAGCTTAACGTAATATTATTTCTATCTTCCCCTTAAAGACTTGCATTTGCGGTTTTATATGTTGCATATTGCAGCTGTAGAGGACTCAGTGCACTGGCACAATTTTTTCTGCCCTTCTGTGACTTCTGAGACAGATGAGCGATTCTGCTATCTGTGCTGGGATGTAGCGCAGGCTTGTGCTACAGCTTTGTCAGGCACACCCTCACATCTGCAGCACAGATAGTGACCGTAAAAGCTGTTTTAAAATGGAATTACAGGTGTTTGATGGCACTTTCTGTACTGCAAGCCTGACTGATGTTGAAGCCAGATCTGGTGGTGGAAGCGATCAAAGCAAACAGTGTTTGAAACAGCAACAAGGGTCGAAGAGTTTATTTCCTCCCTTTGCAGAAGCCAGGACAGCTGCAGTAGTGAGAATCTGCTTGAGATCTGGTGGTGGAAGCAATCAAAACAAACTGTTTGAAACAGCGACGAGGGTCGAAGAGTTTATTTCCTCCCTTTGCAGAGGCTTTGATGAGTCCTTTAGACGTGTCAATAATGCATATTCGGTCCTGGCCTGAACCTGTGATCTTCACTGGCTAAGCCTCCTGCCTTGCTCCTTTCATAGGATCACTAGGGTTGGAAAAGACCTGTAAGATCAAGTCCAACCGACTTGCAGTTGTGGTACTTCATAGTTCTACACGTCCTTGCTCCCAGCTACAATTTTCCTGGGAATATTTGCTTCCTCATCATAGCAGGGTTCTGTAGGAGGAGGTCCCAAGGCATTGGGAGACCTGTGGTTGCAACTACAACAGTTTACCAAGCTACAACCAGTTCTGTGCAAGAGCACACAGAGGAGCATAACTACTTTCAGTTTTTTCTGTCTTACCATAATTCTACCAATCTGTAGATGCCGTACGTACATAGGTAGCACATCCCTGTTTGACCTGATCTGTGTAACTTTCTCTGTGAGATACATGTCTTTAGAAGAGGTTAGCGCAAAATAAAAATAACAGTGCTCTTGTTGGGATTAGAGTTTTATGCTGAGTAGAAATATGAGGTTAGTTTCCAGTCTTAGGATTACTGGATTGTGTCACAAGGCTGGAATTTTGTTATTAAATGCTTGGCATGTTCTGCTGTTCTTTCAGCTAGCAACACAAACATAGCCAGCACCAGGCTCCACATATCCTGAGGACGAGTAGAAGGGAGCGGAGAATTGATTATAAAAGTTTTTCTCAAAACTCCTAACAAAAAGAAGAGTAGTGTTTGTCTAGTTCTTCACTTGGGGTTTGTCTCTAGTCCACCTGAATGCATGGGTACGTAGGTTCTGTTTGCGCTGTTGGATTAACGACCTGGAAATTGTCAGCTCTCATTTCAACTTTGCTGTCCTTGCAAACAGTGTGTCTTGTGCCACAGAACCCCTACTGCCTGGCTCTGCCCTTTTGCAAGGAGACATGTGGGGACATTTTCAACCATCGACGAAGTTTATTTGGTAGCAAAGCTTTTGGTGTTTCTGTTTCATGAATGAAATGGTCTCAAATCGAAGGCAGTTTTATGCTTTGCCTTCCTTGTTATTTGAACGGACAAACCTGATCTAGTGACAAGCTCCGCCCTGAGGCGCTTTTAAATGACTCGCTTGGATTCTTTTGTGAGTGCAGAAGAAAGGACTCCTGCACAGCCCGAGGGGTGCCACCAGCAGGGCCCCAACCAGGGAGGTGCCCTTTCACCTTCTCCTGAGGACTGCTGGCTTCATTTGCTTTGGACTACAATTCCCTTTTCACTTAATTAAATGCTGAGGGGGGGGGAGCGATTTCCTCCTCAGTGTTCTGGGGACAGTTCTCTAGTGTTGCTTGCTCGCTTGTCCAAGTTAGAAGGCAAGGCCTGGAGATGATGGGTTTTGTTCTCCTCCCTGGCTGTTTGCCATGCAGACATTCCCAAACACTTAATAAGCTCTTAACAGCCGTATACAAAAAAACAGAAATCATCCAGTTAAGAGTTCCAGGATGTGCATGGTTCTGGTATTGGTGATGGTCCTGCTCTGCCAAGTGGGAGGTGGGACTATGGATCTCCAGAGATCCCTTCCACCTGACGTTTCTGTGATCCTTTCCCGCATACTTTCTCCTCTGCGTGCAGTGTCACATAACCCAGCATCTCTCCTGGTGTGTGTCCTGAACACATTCTTTGTGTGTGTGTTTTCTGTGTGTTCTCACTTGCACCACAGGAGCTGTGCCCTGAGTCCGTGGATTTTCTAGAACGTGGCTTTGCTAGGACTGCCCATGCCTCTCTTACAGAGAGGGACTCAGCCAGGGCTTCTGAAGGTACGACGTAGGGGGGCAAAGCTCACGTACATTGTCAGCCTCTGCTTGGTACCTGTAAAACTGAATTTCTCAGGCTCTCATCAATTTTATCTTCATTCCTTGCATTGGAAGGCTTGCATGTCTGCACGTTTGTGGTTGGAGTTTGGTTTTACTCTTTTTTTTAAGGACAAGAAAGGAAAATAAAGTAGTATTGGGATCAGCTGAGTCCGTATAAGAAGCTGGGCTTTGACTCTGGGACTCTAGAGAAATTAATTTTCTACTATTGCCAGGGGAATCTGTAATGTTATTTTTAAACAAGAAGAAATACTTAACTGACAGTGAGTAAAGAATCTTTGAGCAGTGCTCTCTCCCAGCTCTGCCAGGCCATCATGCCTCATAGGTGCAGGGCTCATCACCATTTGTTTCTTGAGATGTTAACTTGTTCATTTTACTTCTTCTTGCTGCTAAACTGTTAGGAAGCTGTTGTTTTCAGTGGTCATTTAGCAGTGCAGAAATGGCAGTGTAACAAGATGTGCACTTCCAATAGTATATATCCCCGCTCGGTCCCCGTGTGTTTCCTGATCTAGTTGAGAGGCGTCCCTGCCCGTGACAGGGAGGTTGGATTAAATGATCTCTAAGGTCCCTTCCAGCCTAGGCCAGTCTAGGATTCTGTGATTCACAGCTGGGCCCTTTGCTGTCCCCAGATGTGCCAGCACTCAGAAGCCACATCTTTGCAACCTTCCTCTGAGTTGGGCCACTAAATTGGGTTGGTTTGGGGAGCATGTTCAGGGCTAAGAGGTCTGTGCAGCAGGTACCGAGAACAAGTTGCCGTATTTCTGTGAAAATTGTACAGGAATCTGAGCTCTGCTGAAGCACGTTAGAGTCTCCAGTTGGCATTTGAACCTTCCTTCCATTTTTTTCCCAGGTCTGAGAAGCAGAACTGAGAGCCCAGTGCTCTGCCAATACCTTTGATTTCTGCTCTTTAATGTCTGTGATACAAAGTCTGCAGCTGCAGAATTCAGTTTGGATGATATAACGTGCTCTGGCAGCAGGGAGATAGACACCTGCTGCCGCTACAGTTCTCCTGCAAGCCTGGCACCCAAACACTTCTCTCTCTGAGCTCACATCTGTTTTGCCATGGAGTACTCAGACCTTGAGATTGTTTCTAGAATTACTTGAACAGCTAGCTTAATTTGAAAAGTAATTAAGTAAATCGTTGGAGAAAACAAATCTATTCCAATTTGCTCTGGCCTGTAAACGCCGCTCCAGATCCTTCCACTCGTGTGTGGTTAGGATCAGAGTATCCACGACTTGCAGTGATTAAGCAGTAGGTTTCCCCATCTTGAAAGATTCTGTCAGTGACCCTTTGATGACATCTCTGCAGGCTTATTAAGGACACGGACATTTTTTTAGGGCAAGAATGTAGTTATTGTTTTTAAGGAAAATATGGTTTAAAGTTTGACTCGCTTGGGAGATTTAGAAGGCCACTAGCATTTCCTCCCACCACTTTATTTATTTCAAAGTACAAATGTCTCCTGATACCAAAGTTTGCCAACTACATTTAATACAGCGTGTAAAAAATACCTTACGTTATATTGCAGTATAAAAAGAGATATTAAAAGGTGATTCTCTTTGTTATTTGTGAGAGCGAGAATGATGCTGGCCCTGTGGAAATCAATGGCAAAGCCTTTATCAACTTCGACAGAACCAGAATTTCGCTTTGCAAATTTCTGCTTCAAGTTCCATGGCACAGGAACCACAGAGCTTCAGGGCAACATATTATTATGGATGTGAATTTTTGGTCCTACAAGCCAATGCCTTTAATGAGCATTTAAGATTTTCTCAAGTTCTGCATACAAATTTTCACTGAAGTGATTAAGCCAGATTTAAATCAGAACTTTTGTTCTTTCTTCCTGTGAACGATCAATGTACTAGGAATAAAAATATCTAGGTTGTGTTTTGCTTTTGTTGGTAATAAGCCTGCGCTGTGGTAATTGGCAGTAAAAATATCATAATGACTGGCTTTATCATGCTCATGTAGCAGTAGTTTTCTGTGCTGCACACACAGTTCTGGCAATAGTTTGGATTTATTCTGAGAGCAGGAGTGAGGCAGGTTCCAATTCATTGCACTCTTGATGCCATCTACATCCTGCAGGCAAAACTGCTCCGTAAGAAGTCAGCTTCAGAGGATGTTTCGTAGCCAGAAATTCAGTCCTGGCTTATACTTTTCTCCTGTTTTGTTGCACTTGACAATGGGTGGTTTTTACTGAACATGAGGTTTTCTGCTGTTGACTTTGTTTGTGGATTTCCGTGGA